AATAATTTTAAAATTATGAGATTTTAGTCTTTATTATTGGATGAATGACATTATTAGTAAGCAAGAAATAAGGATGCTTACTCTTTAAGAAAGATTAACATTTAAACTCATCTATACTTTTCAAACAATAATTTATTACATTGATTCCTTAGTGTATAGATCTGTTGATGTTCTCTGCTAGCTACCAACATGATTCTAAGTAGTTCTAAGTACTAACATTAAAATTAGATGTTCTGATCAATGGTAATTATCTCTTGTGGCTGAGAATTTTGTCATATTGATCCTGGTAAGTTATCAAAATTCAAATTAGATTTCACTTAATTTGTCGTACAAAGGTCAAGTGATTTATCACTTAGTTGTTTGTGAGAATACTATTTTAAATTATAAATTAGGTATAGCTTGATGATATTCACAGGAAGAGGGTTAATCAGCTAGCGCAGTGGCTGGAATATGTTATGGCCTGATCATCACCACAGTCTGTATACAGGTGCAGATAAATATAAATTGGAATGGACATGGAGTTGACCATGAAATCAATGATTAGTGTATGATATATATATACACCTAAGCACGATGAGGGAAAAGGTGGCATGCACCATGGTTTCAGCACCCACACCCCACCCCACCCATGTGATTTCTTCACTGGAGTCCTACACGCCACCTTGGCACCCATTATATCGCCACGCTGGCGCTCTCTCTCTCAAATCTCAATATTGCTGCTGCTGCTGCTGCCTGCTGCTGTTCTCAGCTAACATGTGCACATGCAGGTACTATATAAACGACACCAACATCTGGGTAGTTTCCTCGGCAGTCGGCCCCACCCCAGTTTCTGCTAACGTGATCCAGTTCGATTATATGGCTTATCTCACCATTTAATACAAAATTTTTCTCCTCTCTTTTTGAAAAAAAAAAAAAGTTAAGGGATGTACGTAACGTAAATAATATTCCAGAAAAAGAAAACTGAAATAAAATTCTGTTAAAGCATAATACTTTCTAGGTAATAACAGACGAATTGAGTTGGTGAAATTTGGTAAAGGAAGACACAAGAGGAAGTTAGAATCTCACTTTCAATTAACCTCTTTAATTTCTGCTCAATCTCACTAGTTATGGTTGTAATCTGCACCTCTAAGGGTCATGTCAGCGTACTATTAACACACACATATATATGTATATATATAAATATATATATTCTAAGTTATCATATGAATTTATTTAATTGGATAGAACATAAACAGTTAGTATGAGATTTAATTCATTGGTTTGTTTTCTCTCTTAAGTTTTAAAACCTTTTCACATTATAATTTTTCTTTAAAGTTTGAATCATCTCATCATCCTATATGTGAATGTTTTGAAGGAATCTCTTAAAAAAAAAGTTTAAAACTCCAAATTACAATTTTTAGATTTAAACAATGAGATAGTTGAAGGGAAATTTAGATGAACAAAAAATTACATATCTAAAATTTTATTTAATATCTTGCGTCTGAAAAAAGTTAGTATGGGAATACTAGGTTATGATTTGAATTTCTATGTTAAGAGTTTGTAATATTGTCAATTGTGGGTTTGTTCTTATTTTTTAATTACAAAGAGTTATAAATATATTTTTTTTGTACTAATTTTATGATATTCGAAAGTTACATTACCTTCTAACTAATTTGAAATTAAATTATGTCGAATTTTATAAAAAAAAACTTTTCTAACACATTTCTTTATTCATAAAAGTTAATCTTATAACATTATTTAAAGAGAATTGATTTTTTTCTATTTAAACAAACGAGTTATTGGTTGTTATAAACATTTATGAACAATGGTCATAATTGATATTTCTTTGGATTTTTATTTTTAATTTAAAATATCTTTTGATCAATTTTTACATATTTTAAAATTAATTTTAAAAATAATCTTAAAGGTGCATCACTTATATTAACCTCATATATTCAAGAAAATAAATTTATTTGAGTGTTGATCTCAAAATTTAAATTTTAAAATTGATTTATAAACTAATATTTATTATCAATGAATTTAACATTTTATATTGATTTTTCTGTGGATTTTGGCCCAGTATATGCATAATGTAATTGATTATTAATAAATGATATTGATGAAATCATGAAAAGTTTAGATGTCTCTATTATTTATCGTTTCTTGTGATGTAATTCCATAGCTGTCCTATTGATTTAAGCAACTTAGCATTTAAATAAAGGCATCGTTGAATAAGGATAAAATAATTGGAATTAGGTATCACATGGCAATTTTCAACCATTTTCTCCTAGGTTTTTAAATAGATTAATTTGATAATTTATTATTGGCTTATTGCTAGTAAAAAGGTATCCCATCAAGAAGCTTCTCTCTAATGGGGTTTGACGCAATTCGATTTGGAATTAATCGAGGCTCAATAAAATTACTGAATACCAAAAAATTAATAAAAAAAAAATAGAGTGACATAAGAAAGTTTGAGGGAATGGACTAAACAACACTGCAGACCGACTTCCCACATGCATAGCTTTATATTGGGAAAGGAATAATTTATTTACATATAAGTTTATATTTTATATTTATATAAAATTTTAATTATTTTTTTCCTTTTAATAGTTAAAATTTATCATAATATTTTAAATAAATATAAATAAATTTCAATCATTAAAAATAATGAGATGAATTATTGAGATTTTATATAAATGTCATATGTAAATTTTATATATAAATAATTTATTTTTTATATTAGTAAGTAATATTAGCTTTTTGTTGATAGTTCCAACCAAATCGCTCCTTTTAAGCAAATTTAATTTCCTGAATCAAAAATGGTGGTTTGTCTCTAAGGTTGGGACACAGTGGTTTGGTTTTCAGGGCCGGTTAGTTCTTCTTTCCCCGTCTAATGCACAGATCTTAAGAATATATGTATAGATTAGATATCATATATGTTCTTGAATTGCCACATTGTCCAAAAAAAAGCAAATGAGAAGATGATATTTGAAAAGGAAAGCAAGGAAAAGAAGGATGAAAGTTAGAAAGGGAAAGCAAGGTAAAATTATGGAATATTGGTAGAGAAGAAAGATCCAAACAATGGAAACAATTTGGGTATATTGTATAATTAGGCCGGATGCATGGCTTGGCAGCTGTGGCAGGAGAAGAAGATGATGAGAGTGATTCATCGATACCGAAAATCTCTGAGCGAGGCAGGGGCCATGTTGTTGGTTTAGTGGCACCAGATTTGGTGTGGGATATCAGCAACGTGGTGGTCCATCTCATCCTAATTCCGAGTTATTGCAAAGCATTCCATCATCTCTGCCTGGAGTCCTGACTATCACATGTGATACTATTGAGGTATTAATTGTAGGGTCATAAATTTTTTGAGGAAAACTAAGGGGAGAGGATAGAAATAAAAGAATGCGAGATTCTCAATCTCTCTCTTTTTTTCTTTTTTTTTCTTTCTTCATTTTGAAAAAAAAAATTAATGTAAAAAATAAAATAAAAACTTTCTTGCTCTCTAATTTTTTTTTTATGTTGGTTGCACAACTAGAGGTGACTCTCTCATCTTTTATCTCAACTCATCTGCATGTCATACGATTTGAAATTACAATTTCTTATTTTTAATGAAAAGAAATTACCATTGAACCACTTAGGTCGTTGACTCTAAATTTTTTAATTAACAACTAAATAAAATACTTATTTCTACTTTCCTTTCATCTTTCTCAACTTAAATATACTACCCTTCATCAATCAAGAATTTCTCTTAAAAATATACTTTTGTATAATCATTATGACCGGCAAGGTAAGAAGGAAACTTAATTAGAGCATCAAATTTACAATTAATTGATTATTAATAAAGTAGTTCATGTTATAGTTAAGTATACAAATTTTTTTTTATTAATTGACTGATGAAACACAACTAAGTCACTTGGTTCTTATTTCTTAAGAGGCAATGCCATAACCTACAAAAACAATAGACAGTGCATGTTACAAATTAAACAGCATGATTTTGGATATTGCAGTTTTTTTTTCCCCTTTCCCTTGCTGTATTATTTTTATTTTTGTTTAAAAAGTTATCATGTCCTTCAATAATGAGTATGGACTATGGAGAACGTGATGGGCAATGAATGTAGTTGTACGCGAAAAAAAATTAAGAAGGGGCTTATTTATTTATTTATTTTTGGCCATCTAAGGGGCTTAGGTTAATAACTTATAAATAAATGTTAGAAAACTGAAACAAGGACTAATTACTTGTTATTGCTTATTATGTTACATAATAGAGTTTATATTAGAAACTTACAATCAACAACTTAAGTTATTTAATGACCAACTTTTTTTTTGTTGAGAGCAAAATATTTTAAATTTAAATCACATAATATGTAGATGAGGTGAAATAAAAAATAAGGATAATTATATTCTATTATACAATCAAGATAAATAATAATAATAATAACTTACAACTTTGAGATTTGTAGGATTGTTATACTTATAATTTAAATTAAAAAAAAATTAAGATCACGTGATCAAAATAAATTTTGTAAAGAATTCTTTAAAGATTTGAATTTAAATTATTGTTAGAACTAATTAGGATTTTTGTTGGGTTAAAAATTTTCATGCAAAGAACTTTAAAATTTTCTAAAGAGGTAATTAGAAATTATTTGAAAAACTCTCTTTATTAATTTTAAATTATATTTTAATTTTTATACTACTCTTATTTTTTTATTAATCTTTTGGTATCCGATAACTATATTAAATTTTAATTAATTCAGAATCAAGTAGTGTCAGACTTATAAGGAAGAAGTTCTCACAATATTACAAAATTCAAATTCAAAATCTTCTTTAAAGAAAACCAAACTTCTTTCATTCATTCAGATAAATGGGTCGTTGGTACGGTACTTTTATTTATTAATAAATTGATGATTACTTTAATAAAAATTTTCTTTAAATTATTTTTTATTGTCAACATGAACCAACTCTTGTAAATATACGTTGTTCTTAAGTTTTTCATGATTTTGTTACGCTGTGAATGATTGTAATCTATACTATTTTGACTTGTTCAATACGATTCCTTTCTCTCTCTCTTCTTCTACCAAAAGACCACTTCAGAAAGACAATCTCCTTCGGGCCTGAATCCTAATCTTAATTTTCATATTTATATTAAAA